TGGATGATCCTGCTGGTTGGTAAGGCAATGATGATCCTGGTCAGAAGAAATACCGTGGAGAGCGCCTCCTGTAACCCGGCTGCGTACCTTGCCAAAGCAACTATGATGCGGAAAGCGACCACCGAACCCACCCCATCGAGATTTGGTCTTTGGGGGCCGTCAGCCAGCCGGCACAATCCAGTGAGCTCCGTCCCACACGACTGGATCACCAGGGATCAGGCTGACTGCAGCGGATGGACTCGTCGGCATTGCTGTGGCACAGGCAACGACACTGGCTTGCAATAGTTGCAACGACAGTGAAATGACCAGCGCCAGGTCATTGGCATAAGGAAGGCGCACGGCGCAAGAGGGGCAAAATCACTCCTGCCCTCGCACTGAGCTATGCGGTGCAAGTTCCTGTCGTCAGGAACCTCGCATTCCTGTTTCCTTACTTACATTGGTACCTACCTTAGACGTAGGTAAAGAAGCCTGCTAACGAGAATCGGAACACGCTCTGATATCGACGGCTAGCTTGCACCGCAACGCACGTCGCCGAGCGCCCTGAGCTCAGTGATCGCGTGGTGCCTGTGTCTAATGCCATGCGAACAAGCCGCACCACGCCTCACCCCTTTTCCTCCATCTCTTCCTTTCCACGAGACAAATTGCATTCAACAACCTACCATCGAGCGTTCGAGCCGCCTCGCTGGCCGCCCTACGAGAAAAAACAGACAACCTCAGCGCCAACCCCCTTGAAGCCTGCAGCCCACGTCTCGTGTCCATGCAGGCAATGCGAATGTTCTACCCAGTACCTTGAGGAGAATGGACATGTCCGCGCCCCAGAAGAAAAAACAAAATAAGCCAAGACCAGACATGGGCATGAGTACGGCACCGTCGATGTGGACATCCAAGCTTTATTCTGCAGCCACAGAATTGTTGCTTTTCGCGTCCCTGCACTCTGGCCAGTCAAGTCGGGGCATTGTGGCGCAACGATGCATTTTCTGGCGGTTGATGCAACCCTCGTCCCTCCCTCCCCCCCAGCCGCGCCGGCATCGACCGGGAGCATACTCTGCCTTCCGTCGACTTGGTGGTCAAGGTACTTCCTGCTCGCAAGTAATGCAGATCACCCAGATCACCCGCCATTTGCGATATAGCATCTCTACTATGGGCCAGGATGACCGACCATTGCCTCGTCCGGCAAGCGAGCTCGACACCGGTCGAGACGGCCACGGCGAGAGACAATAGCAACTGCGTGTATGCTCCGAGTCTGAGACATGCAGATATCCACATCCCTACCTACTTCGCCAGGAGCCTGCAAGAGACAGACGCCATTGATTCATGCTTGGGATGCGGAATCCCGCCAACAAGGCGAGTGTGCCGCAATCTAGAGAACCCTTGCTACCTGACCATGTGTGCGAGTGGGCGTGCGTGACAATTCAGGGGACGTCTCCCTCCTGCATTTGAGTGGCGTCTGTCTAGGCAGAGGAGAGTCGCGCATTTGGTTACGATAGAGGGATTGCGGTGACCTGCCGGGATAATTCAGACGAATGTTTACAGCGGAGGAGTGACAAGTCGCTCAACACCGCGTCTTCGTCTCCAGACTGCCGCAGGAGCCCTGGTCAATATCGGGACCGACGCTGTTTCGCAAAGGCAGCCGGGAGTCTGAGCACTCCAACCTGCTCGGACAGTACTGTCGCTGTGCAATTGTTCGCTGTCGTCGAAAATGTGACGTGTAAGACACACACACACACACACACGCACGAGGGTGGGAGGGGACTCCAAAGCTGCAGAGCATCGATTTCGAGCTCCTCATTGGACGGTTTACTTGGTTCGGATGGTTTTCGCCTGGCCCTGTCCGTCCATCCGTCCATCTCGTTGCTACCCCTTCTGCTCGACTTCCAGGTATGTTGCTGCGCGGTTTGCGTTCCGCTCGCTCCTTGGCGAGTTCAGGGCAGACAGGGTGCTCCGAGGGAAACCTGACATCCGTATCCCAACTCATGAAGATCTGAGTAGTTCCAAGGGGTCCGACTTGGCGAAGGCCTTCGTCATCTCTAAGAGCCCACCCCATGTTCAAGCCGACATTGCTGATCTCACACAGACGAGCGAATGGGCTGGCAGACAGCGACTTGCTCCACGCAGATCCGTGGGCTTGACGATCGACAGGGCCCTGGCCCGCCAAGTAGCTGGTGGAAGTGGTGGGGGCCGCTTACCCTTGCCCTCAGCTTGCATCAGGACGATGCGCCAAACCCTTCTGGGAGAAGTGCAGAGGAGCGACTCCCCACGGCTCAAATTCAACGAAGCGCATACGCCCCGGGCAATCTCCCGCAGTGCCTAACGACACACATTGGCAGCCACCAGCAGAACCTTGCGCCTTGACCCGTTCTGTTCAGACGTTTCGTGAAGGAGTGGGCCGCCCAATCGCTCCGGCCGGTGTACATGTATGATGTGTTGCCAGAGTGTGCAGGGTCAAGCTGCACAGGTAAAACATGGCCATTCACGAGCCTCCATCGAAGGCTGCGGGTTATCAGGATGGTCAATATCGCCCCGTCTGGCTGAAGAGAGGCCAGTTCACTTGGTCGCTTTTCTTACAGGCACCTCTCAACAAGGTAGCATAGGTAAGCGCGCCGGTACCGGCCTGAGCCTCTCGAAGGATGCTATCCTGGATCTTGATTACTGTCGCCAGCGATTCCTTGATCAATCAATCAGCAGACTTCACTCACGAGAATTACTACCATGATCAGTTAGGCCGTGAGCACAGGCGACACCGAGGCCGAATGGAGATTTCCGTCGCCAGGTGCCGCAGGCTTGTGGCCTCCTCACTGGGTGCAATAAAGCTTATGCAACCAAGAACGAGACAGGCAGGCGGGTAGCATCGTGGTCTGGCCCCAGGCTGTTTCGACGATAGCAGCAAGGGCCCTTCGGTCCCGAACCGTGACGCCCCCGCCTGCTGGTCTCCTGCACTAGTCGCAAGTCGGGCAAGCCTGTCGAGAAAAACGATCCGGCACATCAATGGCGACGATGTCCCTCGTGGCATGCCCCGGGCTCCTGGGCTCATAGGCCTCGCGGAAGTGGCGGACTCTGGCCCGTGTCCCATCGACTGCTCTGGGCCATGAGTGACAATGGTGACGGCGGCTCGCTAAAGGAGTGGCCCGACAGCGCCGTTTCGGCGTAGCTCCGTCCATCTATTGCTTGTTTGTGGGTGATGGCAAGTGGTGAGGGATGCCCAGGTAGGTATGGCCGTTTCCTCTGGGGTCGGCCACTACGAGTGAGTCGGCTGGTGTTCTGGACTGGGCCATGGCCCAGGTGCCTCTTCCCGCCCCGGTTCACCCACTCTCCAAGGCCCCCTCCTCACATCACCCCCTGTCCCCCTTTGTCGCTCCCAGGCCGTCATCCATGCTGGATCGGGCCCCTTGACTGGAGACTCTCGTTTACTATTGCTGTTTTCAGATGGCACCCATGCCTGAGCGTCATGAGACAAGGTTTGCCATGTGAGATCGACGGAATCCAGAGGAATGGGACCGCCACAATGCCAAATCGAGCTTGACAGCCTAGCCGGCACCTCGAGGCGATCTGGCCGCCGAGTGCCTCTACCAACGGGTGTGGAGTCAAGGCTTGGTCCGCGGACAATCTCTGTCTTGGATAGCTTCACTTCAGTGAATGCGACATACCCATTTCTTCCCATTTTGAGGACGACCGACCGATCGTCGATTGGCGCATCATGGAATTTATCGAATGACGGCTGGCAGTGTTGTCGCTGCCTCCGTCGAACATTATGAGTGGCCAGCGTCTCGCCATGTGCAGTCTGGTCAACAGCGTGACATCGATCTCCTCGGGCTGTGTCATGGTCGCTCACCAATGTCGGACATGCAGGAGAAGCGCGAATAAGGACATGAAGCACATTACTGCACTGCACCGGGGCTGGCCCTCACTGGATCAGGATTGGGGACCGCCTCCTGAGTGGCCCCCGCCCCATCTCACGATGACCTCCCGTAAAGGACTCGGCGAGGCCGCTCTTGGCAACCTTATTGGACGTAGTACGTTGTCGAGTGCTCTACGGCCAATCAGGGGGTGTTTGATAGGTATCCAGATCATTCCGGTTGGTGTCTCTTACCCCCTCCCCTCCCTTCATCCCCAGAGGTCTTGAGGTTAGCAGCAACCCCTCAATGGTACGATAAGAGAGAACGCGGCGTGCCCGCTACTGCCTGTCAGGGCCGCCACGTTAGAAATTGTCTGAGGCACAAGCTTCGGAGGCTTTATGCTGGCGCCGTCTTGACGCTTAGCTTTCGCGTCAGTGGGCTCGAAATCTGACCGGTCTGTCTCGTTTTCTCCCTGGCCGTGGCACGAACACGAGCAGCATGATCGGTTTCCGACGAGAGGGTCGCACGTTTGTTGAAAAAGAAAGTCATCGCATAGGAGTAGCCTGATCGAGCTCAGCCTGCATCAGGACCACGAGCCTGGGTCCCGGGCACTGTAGCGTCTTCACCGGGGGGCGGAGGGGGGGAGGGGGATCGCCCCAGCAAGATGCAGTACGATCAAGAATGACCGCAAAAGCCAGGGAGCGACACATGGGGACATCTCGGACAGCGTCGGCGCTATTCTTTACGACGTTGTGACGACTCCGAACGTGATTGAGCCGACGGAGAAGGACGGGGCCTTTCTGCTGTTTGGTGGGCATTTGTGTGTACTTCTTCCTACTACCTTAGTGTACCATGTCTGCCCGCCGTCATCTGGTCCGTGCAGGCGCCATGTCCCGAGCGGTTGGAAACATGAGATCGACTAGGAGCTCTCAGGCATTGCAGAGTGCTTTAGGGGGGGGGGGAGGGGGTCGACAGATGAGTTGGCTTCATGTGGGCCGTCCGGGGGCCTCGAGACGAACCTGGTTCTAGCTTTGACTCGCCTAACAACCATGGTTGACTGTGACATACCCTGGACAACCAGACCCGGAGATCCAAGGTCACCAGCTGACGCTGGATCCGTGCTCAGGCGCAGATCCTTGGCCACGTAAAGCCAGCGCGGCATAACAATGCTACCTATTGATGCCAGGCATGACGGACGGGACGGGAGGGAGGACGCGAGCGATTACGGAGGCTGCCGTCGACGGCGAATGAGAGACGAAACTGCGGGGGCGCCTAGGTGGACGGAGCGACGGGAGGACGTGCTTAGCATTCGTTTGGTGTCGAAAACGGTGGAGGGAAACAGAGAGTCCTTTGTGGGCTCAAGTCCGTCTACCACAGCACAAGCGTGGGCTCTGGGGCAGGAAGAGGGCGGGAAGGTTCAGTCATGAATCTGGCCTGTGGCTGCCTGATACTGCCTCGTCTTGGGCAGCTTGGGATGCGCTTGCCCGTCTTGAAAGGGTCTTGATGATAAGGTTCCTGCGCCGGGTGCAGGCAGGCTCAGCCCTATGCCAGCTACCACCACAAGGGCCATCTCCCTCCCTCTCCCTCTCCAATAGACCTCTTGCCTGCCACAACCGAACCCAACCAGATTTGATCCTCGGCCCCTTCCCCTCTCAGCCCGCATGTCTATTTCAGCCAACGACCGTACCGTGCCATCTCGTACGACCACGTCTACCTCTGAAGTGGCTGCAGTCAGGATTACTTGCAGAGTCGAACATGGGTGCCGGAGGGAGCAATAACCGCCAGTGCCCCGTGTGTGAAGCCTCGACATATGCAGACAGCAGAATCAGACACCCGCTGGCTGCCTGAGCCTCTGGCCTCCGGGCCAAGGCCCTCGGCCTGGCTCTTCTCAGGACTCGCTCTTAGGACTGTTTCTGCACAAAGGCGAACTCAAAGGATCCGTTCGCCCGCTCTTTTCCATGCTGTTTGCGCAACCATCACGTCCGACGTGAAAACTGGATCCCGTAGCATTATGAATGCTAGTCCTGGCCCAGGGCCTAGCATCCTGCGCGTCTGACGTTTGCAACTCCCAAAGGGCTGGGAGCGCAGCGTGTCACCTGCAAGTAAGCAACGCATCAGAGATGCTGTCGTTGGCTGATGTGGGAGGCGAGTGTCTGCAGACTTGGACATCTCTTTGACCCTTCGTAGGGCTGAGCGCCCGTTCAGGCCGCCAACTTTATTACCAAAGGTGCCACTGATCAACACCAAGCCTACCCAGGTCCAACTCGCCCCTTTTCAAGCAAGCCACGAGCCCTACAGAACGACATGACACACCTCCGCTGACACGACCCAACGCCTCGTCCCTTGCCGCCAGCAACCAGCGGTCAATCCCATCAAAGTTGGCCCACCCCCTATCGTGTCACGACAACACGTATATGGCCGTGTGCCTGGTCATCGTCATGCAACTTCCCACCCACTGCCGAATCGCGTATTCATCTCGACCACCCAGGCTGTAGGGTCGCTGAAGCTGGTAGCTCAACACGAGGGCTTTGCACCGCCTCGAGGGTTTGCTAAGAAAAGATACTCTAGTCCCGCAAGAAGAAGAAGAGGACGACCCCCACCCTCGCGTGTCATTGATCAATTCGTATACTGACCAATGAGAGGGGAATGATCTGAGCCCAGAGTCAAATGAGCCACAGCTTGGACCATCGGGGCCTTTCGTCTCAAAATGAGAGACCGTAACCGGGAGGGGCATCAGACCAGGTGGATCATCCTGGGCCAATCTCATAACTTGCTTGTCTCTATCGTCGAAATTTGCATCGAGACATCGTGGCACGGTCGTTCCCCAATAATCGAATCATCACGGTAGGCGACCACAAGTTCACCCTTAGCTTGGACGAGGTGCTGCCACAATTCTGACCCTTATTCAACTGTGGGGTACACTTGAGGAGATCTTGCGAGCAAAGGGAAGGCTTTGTCAGATACGGAAATACAATGAGATTGAGGGGAAAACCGTCCCACATGCAGCAGCCCTTACGGGCCTCACAGGTGGCCAGCCAGCGTTAGTCTAAAGATGCACTTGCTTGCGCATTTCAGACGAGGAACCCTCCATCGGTCACCGCAGTCACAATGGTCGAGACCAAGGTTATACCGCTATACCGCCTTTAGACATGTCACGTCCAGTAGGTCTGCGAGAGACAGTCGTCACGACCATGTGGCCGACTGGTCTCGAACCCAGGGCCAGACATATCAACTCCTCAGGCACCGCCCGTCCTGGTCGAGACCGTCAAGTGAATCTCCAACGTTCTTTAGTTCTTGAGGGCGACAGCGAGACAGGTGGTTTCAGACATTACACTCTCGCCCACCCCAGCCTTGATCACAGCACCAAAAGCAACCATCGAACCTTGGTCCCCACTTATATCACAAAGCCGGACGATTTCGCCAGCATCATTCACAAGATCGAGACAAGCGAGGATGCTAACTTAAAACCGACTGGGTCAAGCACGGTGCACTTGGGGGTTTGGGTTTGGGTCCAGATGCCTCAACACTGACGGGGTCAACTCTGATAATGGCCGACCACGAGGGCAACCCGCTTTTACCATAAGCACTGGCAGCCGAACCAGAATGACCGCCGCTATCGCTAGCCTGCACCGCGGAGAGCGAGGAAGGGATGGCATTCGGACTCCGCGACATGATATTGTGCGAGGCATGATGCGCATGCACAACGATGGCGAGGGCTATGGTGATGCACTAACCGGCCCTGGCCTGCGTCCTGTTCAGTCTTGTTCATGATACAGCCTGGTTCAAGCAGAGGACCCTGACCTGACGATGTCGGCTTGGCGAGGCGAGGGAGGGCGTCTGCCTACACGCTTGATTGTGGCTTGCTTCGCAACGGGCGAAGCACAGCACGCAGCACGCTATGCCAGGCACTGGCTGGCAGTGCAGACATAGGGCTCAATCACTCCCGATGCCTCTCCAGACAGCCTCGAGCCTCCAAGTGTCTAATTACAGCGCACCAAGCACTGCAAGATGCACAACCGCAGTGGGGCAGTGCACCGCCAAGTTGTGCCGGAGCACTGTCGACTGGTTCATTGGGCCTATAACGAAGTCTCGCAGCACCCACTCACTACACTGTACATGCACCACACGCAGACGACTTGGGGGTGTGAGTGATGGACGCCATTTTAGGGACGGGCACCAAAATAACGCCATGATTAGCCTTGTCAGCCAGTCTTTTACTTCCACTAACGCCGCGAACGTACTGACTACGCTTTCGACAGGATGTCCTACGAGCAGCCGAGCTTGCAGAGCCTCCACAATATTGGCTTTGGCTCTGGCATCGCTCGATGCTTTTCCTCGTTCATCGCAATTCGTAGCAGTACCTCGAAACTTTCTGGCCAGAGGGGTCATTTGCCCTTCTAAGATGCGCTAGCAACACCTTGTCTGTTCTCGTTGTCGTCCACGCGCGGGTGGCTTTCAGGACGGTGCAGGCACTCCCTCCCTCTCTGGGTGCCGTTGTGAAACGTTTCTGGGGATGAAGAACCGTAAATCAGACTGAGGGCCTCTAAAGGCAAGGCTCGCGAACCGGGATGCGTATACGAAACCGTCCCTACAGGGCCATCAATATACCGCTATTGTCGAGAGTTGCGAGGTCATGAAAATAAAAAGCAACATGCTGAGCAGGCAAAAGAAACCTGTGCATATTGAGCATTGACGAGG